AATTTGGAGCAGAAGCCGGGACGGGATGGGATGGGATGGGCCGGGCCGGGCCCCCGTCTAGTTTTGATGAAATTGCTCGAAATAATAGGGTGAAAATGCAGCTTTCTGCTGCTTTCTGGGCTGCCTCGCTTTTTAACTCTTTCGCGCTTTGGCTGTGAAAGACCAAAAAGGCGTCGTCCGTCGCTTGCATTGCATTCAGCTAACAACCGACTCGACTCCGACTTCCCTTCCCTTCCCTTCCCTTGCCGCACCGCACCGCACCGACAAATACACAAAAGTCCGAGAGTTCAGCACGCACAGTGGGATATACAGTGGTACAGTGGTGCCACCGCCCCTCCGTCCCTCCCCCCACTCTCTATGGAGTTTCGTGTTTGGTTTTGTTTCTGGCAAAAAGTGGGTGAAAAAAGCGAGTGAAAGATTTGTGGTGCAGTGGGTTTGGGGTCGCCTCCCTCTCTGTCTCTCTCCCCCTCCCTCTTTGTGTGGGAAAATTGGGTCTGGTGTTTGAAGTTTGACTTGACAAAGCTGAGATTTCAAAGCGGTTTCAATGGGATTTGTACACGTATCCGAAAGCGAGAAATACTCACATGCATGAGCCGCCAATTAGGTATCCGCAGATCTCGCCTCGAATGATTTTCCCTGTCCATTCGGAACATTCTGAAACGGAATAATATTATATTATGTATTTCTCTGTATAAACACCGCTCGCTGTGCGGGAATCAATCGGGCTATAATCGGTCGCCAAACCCAAGGCGGCTAAAGCATAATCCGCAACAATCTATTTATCCATACGTACACTCAGAGAAAAGTAGGCACAATCAGCCATATGGAAATGAAAAATTACGCTTCAAAATGGAATTCACATTGATTGCAGGCCCAAAATACATTAAAATAAATAATATATTACTTTTTTAGCAAATAATTTAAATATTAAATATTTGTACTTTAAATATAAAAAAAAAATCATTTAAATAGGAAAAATATTTACTTTAAATAGGAAAAATATTTACTTTAACTAAGAAAAATATTTAAGCGAAGTTTAATTTGCATATAAATTACGAAAAATATTTAATCGAATTATATAATACATTTAAATCAATTAAGAAATAAATGTAATTCATATTTGTGTTTCAGATATGAAAAATACTTTTATAAAATCCAAATAATTTTATTGTATTTATTCAAAATATTTTTGAACGATGCATAATATACATACATACATATGTATAAAAAAATGTAATTTAAATATGAAATATTTGCATTTTATATATGATAAATATTTAAACGAAGCATAAAATATATTATAATTATTTAAAAAAAAATTTAATTTACATATAAATAAGAAAACAAATTTAATCGAAGTAAAATACATTTAAATCAATTATAAAACAAAGGTAAATTAAATATGAAAAAATGTTAATTGTATATGAAAAATATTTAAGCAAAGCATAAAATACATACAAATTGATTATAAGAAAATTTAATTACCAATAAAAGAAAACTTTTATTTAAAAAGGGAAACTATTTCAACGAATTATAGAATATATATAAATCAATAATGAAATAAATTTGATTAATATACAAAAAATATATATATTATGTATTAACATAGAAAATTCGATGGCTATTAATTTGTGAGGGCCTTTTCTCTGGGTGCACCACAAATCAATTACTTTAATCAATTTTTAACACGCTTGCGCTTCTTCACACCCAAGGCGCCGCTGTCCCAGCTATCCACAGATTTTTTTTGCCTTTCAGTTTTTGTTAAAATTGTAATTATAAAGATTAAACACGGGCGGAAAGAGTAGAGCGCGAGAATAGAGAGGTAAGTAGAGAGAGAGAGATAGCACACTAACCTGCCATAACAAACTTGAAATAATATTAAAGAATTTTTATTGAAATAATAGCAAGCTATGCAGGTAGTGGCCGTCCGTTCGTCCCGGAGCCACAGACAGAGCGATGGGTGGGAGGGGAGGGGTGGAGAGGGCAGACGCGAATCGCGGTTCGTCAGTGTCAGGCGAGAGACGAACATCAAAGGCGGAACGGAAGACCGACCGTTCGCTGGAAGACAGACAGAGAGAGAGAGAGGCATCAACTGATTGGGGGCGACGACAGGCTGTCGTCGTCGTCGTCGTCGTCGTTTCGAGGTTTCTTCTTCAGGGTGCCGTTTCGCCGCCGCGTTTTTCTAATTGAAATGTTCCGCACCATATTTCTCTACGCTTTACCACCTGCTGGCTGGCTCCCTCGCGCCCTTCCCTCCTTTGCTAAATAGTTCACTCTGAAACAGGGACTCCCAGTCGCAGTCCCAGTCGCAGTCGCAGTCCCAGTCCCTGGGCAAATGGGCAATGGGCAATGGACATGGACATGGGCTTGCACCGGAGCGGCATATAAAAAAACTGACCAGCCACAACGAGCATTCCTCCATTCCATCCCCTTCCATCCCATCCCATCCCATCCGATGGCTGTCGTCGTCATTATCAGCGCCAAGTGGAGCTCATGATGATAAAAGCAGTTGAGCGACACAACCCGATTATTTCCCAACACTTTAGCATCTTTCCATCTTTCTATTATACATATTTTCTTCACTTCTTTTTTGCACTCATTTTTTCTCATTCTGTATTTTTCAGATATTTTTGCAGTCATTTTTCTCATACTATATTCTGTAGTTATTTTTTGCACTAATCTATATTTTTCAGTCATTTGTTAAACCAATTGTTTCTATATTTTTTAGTTATTTTTTAAACCAATTTTTTCTATATTTTTCAGTTATTTTTTAAACCATTTTTTTCTATACTTTTCAGTTATTTTTTGACATTAATTTTATCGTTTTTCTCCACTTATTTTTTCTTCTTTCTTATTTATTTATTGCCCTCTTTTTTTTAATATTTTTAAATTCTTTTTTTGCAAACGTTTTTTCTATATGTTGTATTTATTTTTAACAACCATTTTCTCTATATTTTCCTGTTATTTTTGCACTCATTTTTTTAAAATTTTATTTCAGTTATTTTTAACAAACATTTTTTTTATATTTTTCATTTATTTTGTACAACCATTTTTTCGAAATCTTTGCAGTTATTTTTGCACTTATTTTTTCTATTTTCTCGAGTTATTTTTCGCACTAATTTTTTCTTGATTTTTAAATTCTTTTTTGCAACCATTTTTGTACAGTTTTTTCTTGCAAGCATTTCTTATATATTTTTCATTTATTTTTTGCACCTTTTTTTTCTATATTTTTCTCCAGTTATTTTTGTACTCTAATTTGTTCCATATTTTTCAGTTATTTTTTTAAACTAATATTTACTTTATTTTTCAGTTATTTTTTGCCCCAGTTTTTAAACATTTTCCAGATGTTTTTTTTTGTACTAATTTTCTCTGTATTTTTCAGTTATTTTTTACAACCATTTTTCTATATTTGTTTAGTTATTTTTTTAAACCAATTTTTACATTATTTTTCAGTTATTTTGTTCCCAGGTTTTTCTATATTTTTCAGTATTTTTAATATATTTTGCAGTAATTTTTTCTATATTTTTCAGTATTTTTTCTGTATTTTTTAGTATTTTAAATATATTTTGCAGTATTTTTTTCTGTATTTTTCAGTATTTTTTTCTATATTTTCCAGTTAATTTTTGCACTAATTTCTCCAGTTATTTTTTCCTCAGTTTCTTCAGGATTTTTTCGAAAGCAGAAGCTCTGGGAAAAGGGCTCTCCAGACTCCTCCTTCGATCCTGTTCCATCTGCTGTTTCTTGGTCTGTTTCAGAGGGTATTCCCTAGTCGTGGCCGCTGCTGGAGCTCCAGTTTTTCGCTCATTTTGTACGTTTTGTTTGCAGGTCTTTACACTGCTCGTTCATCCGTCGTTTGCAGTTTTCTAGGAAATAATTCTCTCTGTTTCTCTGTTTTTTGCAGTTCTTTTTCTGTCTTTTTTTTCCAAAGCGCTGTCTCGTCTCGTCTAGTTGCGTCTTCATAGTCCGTCTGTCCGTCCATCCGTCTGTCCGTGCCACAAGGATGGAGTGGATGGTGCTGGGTGCTCTGGTTGCTGGCCCCCACTGCTGTCGGGGAGAGTGTCACACCTGTCACTTTTGTGGCCTGATCACAACAACCGCCGACGAGCGTCGACGACCTCGCCCATTCCGCGGTGGAGGAGCAGGGGCGGTTGGGGGTGGGGGGGCTCGGCTGCAACAAGGTGTGAACCTCAAATAATCACCTCTGCACACGGCATGCCCACCGGCCCGGGATCGGTCTTTGCTTTGTTGGTATTTGTTTTTCGTTGGAAAATTTTGCGCATTTCCTTTGGTTTTCTTGGGTTTTTCCATGTCGATTACCGGGAAACGTGTGAGTTTTCATTGGAACACGCAGCTCCCGGCGCGACGTTTGCATAATTATTTTATTGCCAGGCCACGCCCACGTGCAGGGGGGGGGGGGGGCGGCCCAAGACTTTGTTGCAACAGAGCCAGAGCCGGAGCCAGACAGTGCCCCAAGGCACTGCGCACCTCCCCTCCCCCCTCCCCCCGGTCTAGACAATTTGCAACCGAAAAACTTTTGTTCTGCGCAGCATCTCTGTAGGCATTTTCTTCAATTAGCGCTTTTTATTATTTTTAATTAACAATTTTGTAACTTAATCCTTGCCGCATAGTGTGGCGCCCCCACCCCCGCCCCCTACTACCCATCGCATAATCGAATCAGACCCGCTTGAGTAAAGTTTGTCCAAAGACAAAAAACTTTTACCCTTTTTGCCGGGGGGGGGGCTCCCGGGGTCCCGGGGGGATACCAGACATGTGCATAATTATGTTGCTGGGGGGGTGGCACAGACAAAAGGGTGGACACTAATTGAGCGATGTTTGTTGTTGCAAAGAAATGTTTTCCAACTTGCGGCAGACAACCGGCAGACAGGCACAAGGGACTGGGGGGGGGGTCTGCTGCTGGGGAGGGGGAAAACTAAGTTAGACAGACTGGAAAAATGGCAATTATGCTGTAGATATGATTATCCCCCCCCCCCCTCCCGGATCTATTCGTCCTTCCGGAAGTCGTAGAGCACCACGCTGCTGTCATTCGACCAGGTCCCCGACGGCGGGGGCGTTAGGCTGATGTACAGGCCGCACTGGATGCAGACGTTCTTGAGGACCAGCCGGCACTCGCGACAGTAGGGCAGGCCGCAGCCGGCGCAGAGCTCAAAGTCCCCATCCTCGAGGGCGTCGCAGATGAGGCAGCGCCTCTTGGCCCAGCTGAGATGCTGCAGGCAGCCGCAGAGGCCCGGCCAGCGCAGCCGCAGCCGCAGCAGGACATTGAGATTGTCGTGGACACGGCGCGTGGCCAGATTCATTGTGGCATTGCGCCGCAGGCTGGCGAAGACGGTGAGGCGATCCCGCAGCATGGCGTTGTAGAGGTAGAGGATGCGCTGCTTCTCGCGCTTGTGGTAGAAGTAGCTGCAGATCACCCGGCGCAGACGCAGGAAGGTGGTGCTCTGGTAGATCAGCAGCACGATGCCCAGGTAGAGGAGGAGCAGCCGGTAGTAGAAGCCGGGCGGCAGGACGTGCGCCTGGGGCAGGCACTCCTCGTTGCTCAGCGTCGTCGAGACGCGCTCGTGCATGTTAAAGTTCCGCATGGTGATGCGCAGCAGACGGGCCATCAGCCCGGTTCCGTTTATCTGCGGGAGGCGGGGAGTCCCTTCTGTATAGAGATCGGAGGGACGATGGACGAGGTTTGGGGGGCTTACGTGGAACCGGATCTCGTGCTCGCCCTCCTGCTGGTAGGTGACCAGCGACCGCTGGCGTATGATCTGCATCAGGCTGACGACCATGTGGTCGAGCAGGAGGAACAGGCCGGCGGTGATCAGCTCCAGCGAGAGCTGCAGCAGGTGGTAGATCACCGTGCGTGACTCCTCGGCGGTGCGGCTGCAGATGTGGGCCACGTCCACGTAGTTGGTCCGCTCGTGCCTGTGCAGCGGCAGGATCGAGCGCTTGCCCTTCTCCTTGCGGCCGGCGTCCACGTGCCGGAAGTAGTCCGTGATGTAGAAGTTGTCGAACTCCACGTTGGCCCGGTACTGGCAGTAGTACCGGACGGAGGCGTAGATCACGCGCAGGATGAACAGGCAGAGGAACTTCTCGAGCACCAGCATGGTGGCCGCGAAGATGCGCCGCCGGTGGTTGAAGTCCCTCAGGAAGGCCTCCGACGTCTGCTGGGCCGTCAGCAGCTGCCCGGTGGCCGTCTCGTTCCTCAGCTCGTAGGTGATCTCGATCTCGGAGCTGCCCTCGAACAGCTCCCGCTCGGTCCTCAGCAGATCCACGTACGTCTGGCCGAAGGCCGGCGGCACCACCTCCGAGGCATCGCATACCTTTTCCGGGCTGCCGAACACGTTCAGCCGACAGACGATGTCCACGCGGTAGGGCCAGCAGATGGCCGGGGCCATGAAGTCCGGAAAGTTTGTGCTGCACTTGTCGTAGCCCTCGCGGAAGACCTCCTCGCAGACGCGGATGCCGCTGCTTAGCTGCTGCTCGCAGCGGATCCTCATGTTGTGCAGGAAGTTCTCCCGCGTCGCCTCGGCCGTCGGCAGCTCCGACTGGTCGGACTGTCCGGACTGGCCGGACTCTTCCTCGTCGGGCGACTCCTCGACGGCATACTTGAGGTCGATCAGGACGTCCTCCAGCTCCTGGAAAGCGTTCCGCACCTCCGCCATGTCGCCCCGCATGTGCTGCAGCGTGTTCGTGAAGGGCCTGGCCATCAGATCGAACCGCGTCTTGGTGAGGTTGTAGGTGAGCACCGTGGTGCAGGCGAACACGCGGGCCACCTCGGCCGCGTTCAGGGCCAGGTTGTCGATCGGGCCGGCAATCACGAACGCGAAGGCGATGGCCCGCAGGTAGGTGCGTCCCGACTTACCCACCAGCCCCACAAATATCAGCATTGTTACGGCCCGGACGCTGCGCAGCAGCGTGAAGGCCACCCCATTGAGCAGCATGAACACCTCGAACACCGAGAAGCGCATCGGGATGTGGGCGAACCAGCGGTTCAGGTTGAAGTTCAGGGCCACCAGGGCCCACAGCAGATAGGCCAGGACCAGGCCCACCACGAATCTGCCCAGATAGCGGACGGGCTTCAGCCAGGCCTCGTCCTCTGACTCCTGGCCGTACAGCAGGTAGTACAGGGGCCTGTACGGTTGCAGGCCAATTGCTTGCCGAATTTTCCTTGTCAGAAAATGAAACATTATCCAGGCTCCACACTACTCCGGCAGGGCTTACTATGACTTGACTCGGAGAGAGATAGAGAGACAGAGAGAGAGCTCAAGGTTAACGCCAGATTAGCAGCCAGACAAAGAAGGATGCAGCTGCCTCGGTTAACCCCCTCTCCGCCCCCCCCGGAGCACCCCGAAGACAGGTCCAGACAACTTTCCGTTGGGCATGGGAGAATGCGAGAACATTTATTTTAATGCCGGTCCGGTCGGGTCCCACTCCAACGGGTAATCCAATTATAATGGAAGCTGCAACAGCACCTGCCCCACTCGGGGGGATTCTTCTAAAATATAAAAATTGATTACATGCGTGTGTGTGTTCGTGTGTGTGTGTGTGTCCGGTCGCTCCTCCACGTCTTGTTTGTTGTTTAAAAATTTATGAACTGCAGTCAAGCGATAAAAGATGGATGGGATTGAATGCAGTCCATGAGGAGTAGCAGCACTCCGCCTCCCACCTCCCACCACCACCTCCAAAATTGATGCAGTTGCTCAATGTCGTCGCGCTTGGCGGTGTCACTCGCTGCATATTAAACAGTTTTTGAAAACACTCGGGGAGCAGTCTCAGGTCTCAGGTCTCAGGTCTCCCGTCTCCCAGCGGCGGCACTTCATCAGCTTCGGCCTCGGCTTTCGGTTCGGGCTCGAGTGTGCTAAAAAATTGATTGATCCTGCGAGTGCCACTGAAGTGGGGGGCAGCTCCACCTCCTCGCTGCCTCGCTGCCTCGCTGCAAGGGCACTTTGACGACATCATCCCGTAGACGTAGACGTAGACGTAGACGTTGTCGTAGACGCTGCCGACGAGACGGGGCGTGGTCGCACGCATTAAAACAATTTAAAATTCCCAAAGACCCAAAACACTAGGCGGAGACCTACAGTGGGTGGCATCTCCAGGGCGAGTGGGGCGGCGGGCGGTGGGCGGCATTGTGGAGGCTTTCATGGGATCCTAAATGAAAGGTTGCTTTCTGGGAGTTCAATTTTTGGGCAGAAGCCTTACAATGGGACACAAATAGAAGGCGATGTGTACGTTTACAACTCCATTATCTTATTTTTTTGGTACTTTCTGGTATTTTTGGTATTTTTTTGTATTTTTTTGGTATGTTCTGGTATTTTTTGTGAAGTATTAACAGCACTAGCTAAATTTTTCGGTTCTTTTTTGTATTGACTATTATTAAAGTGGTATTTTCTGATATTTTTGTTGGGTAAAATCAGCACTTGCTAAATTTTTCGATTTTTTTGTACTCTCTGGTATTCAAGTGGTATTTTTTGTTATTTTCTGTTATTTTTTCGTATTTTTGTAGGCTAAAATTAGCACTTGCTAAATTTTTCGGTTTTTTTGGTATTCTCTGGTGTTCTAGTGATTTTTTTTTTGATTTTCTAGTATTATTTGGTATTTTTGTAGGGCAAAATTAGCACTTGCAAAATTTTTCGGTTTCTTGGTATTCTCTGGTATTCAAGTGGTATTTTTTTATATTTTCTGGTATTTTTCTAAGGTAAAGTCAGCACTAGCTAAATTGTTCGGTATTTTTTGTATTCTTTGGTATTCAAGAGATTTTTTTTTGGGTTTCTTGTTACTTTCAGGTATTTAAGTGGGGTACATTTTTCCTTTTTGTTGTACTTTCTGGTATTTAAGTAGTATTTTGTGGTAATTTCTGGTATGTAAGTGGAATATTTTGGTATGTTTTGGTGTTTTTGTGGAGTAAGCTTACATTGCATTTTTCTTGTATTTAAGTTTTCCAGTAGGTATTTTCTAGTATTTAAGTGGTATTTTTCGGTATTTTCTGGTATTGTGTTGTATGTTCTGGTATTTGTGTGGGGTAAAATCAGCACAAGCTACATTTTTCCATATTTTATATATTTTCTGGTATTTATGTGGTATTTTTTTGGGTAAAATCAGCACTAGCTTCCCTTTTCGGGAATTTTATAGTATTTATGTGGTATGTTTTGGTATTTTTTGCTATGTTCTGGTATTTTTTTGGGGTAACGCTACATTTTTCGGTTTGTTTTGGTATTTTTTTGATATTTTTGTGGGGTAAAATCAGCACTACCTACCACTTTAAGTGATATTTTTTCGGTATTTTCTGGTATTTTTGTGGTTGTTATTTCTAGTATTTTTTTTTAAGTTTTTTAAGTAGTATTAGTAATTTGTTATGAATTTTGTATCTATTAAGAGACTACCAGTGATGGACAAAAGAGACCGAGGTCAGAGGCTCACAGGTGAGCTCTGGCTAATAAATCTGTCCTATCTTTTAGCCGCCACACCCACTGTACCGTACCCATCGCCACCGTAGTACCATGGGCGGTCAGGGGTAACGGCAGAGGCTGGGGCTAGGGCTGGGGGCAGAGACAGAGCCAGCAAAGTGCTGGACAGACCAGGACCAGAACCAGGATCTGCTCTTGTGTAAAGCTTTAAATGCATTAAATTGTCAAAGCGTTTGGCTATGCTAAAAGTTTGCTGCCGGCCATAAAATTGCATGCCACAGACAAAAAAGGAGTCGCCACAGTCCCACTCCCAATCGACCAGTCGACCAGTCCCCAGTCGGAGGCCCCAATCCGAGGCTGGTCAGTCAGTCAGTCAGTCAGTCAGGTCTAAAACCAAATGAATGATGAATTGCCTGTCACTTGCAATTTTTTTTTTCAGAGAGACGGAAACACAGAGAGAGAACCGAGGACCGAGAACCGATGTCCGATGGTTGTTCCGTCTTCGCCGCCTTGTTTAAATTTTTCATGTTTTTCTAAGGCCCAGAAAGAGATGGTTTCCTCCCCTCCTCCCCGCCTGGTCCCTGGCTGCTGGCTGGACCTGGGCTACCAAAACGTTGACATGCTGACTGCTTTCATGGAATTTGCGTTTTAAAAAGGCGGCAAACGTTGACATCCTTGTCATTGTCCATGTCTGCGCTTCGGTCGAGAATGTTTTCGGTGCCCAAAAATTTAATTGGGCAAGCATCAGGAGCCCAGGCCCCAGCCGAGCCACAGAAATATGAAATATTTTGTTGGCAAAGAATATAAAGCAGGTAATGTGGAATGTCTGAGCGTATTAAAATATTTTCTGTGCCTCTTTAAAATGGGTTTTTGCTTCGCCATCCCCCGCCCGATGATTTTCTGTTTTCCATGCGAAATTAGTCAATTTTTGGTGGCCACAAATTGCATTAATCACGGCGATAGGGAATGCGAGCATAATGCCATGTCCATATCGAAATGTCCAGGGATCCGCTAGAAATTGATTGTTTGCCAGCTTGGGGGGCTGGGCGGCTGGGGGGTGGGTGGCCGAGAGGCCGCCGGATATCATTAGGAATGCAAATAAAACGCATGGAAAATTGTGAAACATTTTAAAATGCCAAAACAGATGAATTTATGGCAGCAATGCGGCTCTGGCTATCTATTCCCCACCGCCCCCCTCACCAACGCCCTGACCACCATGACACGCCCCCTTGGCCATGCGTCAATTATGACAAGAGTGAAAGCCAGCGATAGGGTCTCTCCCTGCGAAAAAAAAACCCCACACACAAATTTCCCAAAATATGTGTCTGCATAAATTTTCCAAACTTCGAAAAACAGAACTCAAAAATAAAACCAAAATTAAATTAGTTAATTAATGCATGCCAACATGCTAGGAGGAGCGTTAGGGGGGGGGAAGGGAAGGGGAGAATCGGGGTCAATCATCAATCATGAGACGCCTCATGCGTGTGTCAAATATTTTTGGTCTAGCGACCCGTAGATTGCTTTCGCTTTCACTCGAAACAAAGCCAAACCGATCCCATGGCCAGGTCGGTCCCCCAGTTCCAATTGCCCAGGGAAGAAATATTCACAAATTAGTGGCCCACATATCTGTGCCGCGACAGGTAAAAGTGATTAAGCGGCTGCCGGCTTGGCCCAAACCGAAAATTATCCAAAATAAATTATGCAAAGAGCCAAACAGCCAAAGAGTCAAAGCCAAATGTATCACATTTCGCGCTTTGCGGTTGTCTGTCCGCCCCTAAGCCTACGGCCAAACATCAGATATCCATTAGCCAACAAGGGTTAAATGGATCTGTAGCCAAATTTCGGAATACCCTCGAGAGAGAGAGAGAGAGAGAGAGAGAGATGTATGAATGATGGAATGGCCGGGAATCTTAGAGCAGAAGAGATTCCATCAGAGGCTCGAGGGATTGTTTGCCTCAATTGGCTGCCACATGGATCGCCTCTTCTGGTGTTGGAGCATTCCTTGATTGACATCCTCCCCGGCCAACCCTTTGGGGGTTTTGCATTAATTTTTTGTGTTTATTTTTTGTTGTTTGCGCGCAGGTGTGGAACTTTGTTCTGAATTTTTAATTAATTAATTAAAGGCAAGTCGCTGGGCCAATAACGAGGCTATCAACGGCAATGTCATCGTCACAGCGCCCCCACCCCCCCCTCTGTCCACCGTCCCCCTCGTCAAATATTTGTCCCTAAGCTGCCCCCAACGTGGGACCTGTACTGTGTCTCTTCTGTGTGTTTGCATATGCATGAACCTAATTTTAATTAATATTTTATTATCTTAATTATGCATCGCACCTTGCCGCGTTTCCACTTCCTCTGGCCGGCCCTTTGGTCGCTTCGCTGTTTGAGTTTTGCGCTTAGTTTTCGACCTTTTGCTCAACAAATTATGGCCATAAATAAAGTAAACGAGTTAAAAGTGGTTTTGCGTGTTTACGCCTCCCCCCTCCTCTGTCCCTCCCCTGCCCCTGCCACAGCACCCTGTGTAGCGTCTGGCCGAGGTCTAGCCGAGCCGCAGTCTAGAGCGGAGCAGGAAATGTTCCCTGGCGCTTGGCTAATGTCATTTTCAGATTCACCCTCAAAAAAAAAGAAGAAAAAGAACTGCCTGGCATGGCCGAGTCTCGGTGTTAATTCTGGCTTGATTTATTGGTTCTATTAGAGGGCCACTAATTGGCCCAAAGGGTTAACAAGGGGACAGGTGCGGGCGGCTAGGGAGTTGCCAGATAAGCCACGGATGCAGAAAGGAT